CATATGCACACATACATAGTAAAGTAAAAATAAATGAATAAAATTTTTCCTCATCTCTTTTTGGACCTCAAGTGAAAGACAGTTGGGTTGTGTTGGGTTTGGTTTTGCTTTACTTCACTTCTTTTCAGTCAGGCAAACTCCAGGCACCATAGCTTGCCTTTTCTGCCTAAAACAAACTAGATTTTGACTCAATTGTCTGGCATCTTTTAGAGTAACTGCTTTCTCATAAAGTTTTGCCTGACCCCAAAGGGTGGGTTAGGTGATCTAGGGTCTACTGTTATTTTAATTTGAAGTAACAAATAATGTAGCAGAAATATGTTCCTTCTGTGTTTCTACTTCAGGCCCAGAGAAAGTCAATAAAAATTTATATGTATGAGGAAAGATTAGACTTCATTCTAATAAACTAAGCACAAGTGCTATCGTCTGCTTGAAGTTCAACATGGCTTCCCTGTCACTATTGGAATAGTACAATTGGCCTGTAGATATTTGTAATGGTTTTTGATGCTTTTTTTTAAATTTTAAAAACATTTATTATGTATTTTGTGTGTGTGTGTGTGTGTGTGTGCTGGTGTTTTGCCTGTATGTATGTCTCTGTGAGGGTGCCGAGTCCCTTGGAACTGGAGTTACAAACAGTCTTGAGCTGCCATGTGGGTGCTGGGAATTGAACCTGGGTCCTCTGGAAGAGCAGTCAGTGCTCTTAACTGCTGAGCCATCTCTCCAGCACCTGTTTCAATGCTGTTTGAGAATCTGTATAGACCAATTTGGATCTTCTCTTCAGGACTCTGACATGTAGATCTATTATATTTGGATTAAATTTAAAGTACCTTTTTGGGGAGTGATTAAAAAACAAACTATTTAAAATTATGATTTCTAACATTTTTCTCTCTAATGCATTTTTACCACAACAAACTAAATTGTAAGCTAAACAGGAATGTTGTGGTTTGGGACACCAGCTGGGTGACTCACAGAAAGCTCAGGATAAGTATGTAATATTGAAAGTTTTGCTGGAGTAGAGGACCGCGTTAACCAACACTAATAATAGCTAATACTTCAGATGCCATCATGACACATTCCCTTTGTCCTGTAACAGCTCAGGAAAGGCTAGTCAACCACTGTTCCCACTCCCATTTCGTACTGCAGAGCTGAAACACTAGGAAGGGTGGAAATTTCCCCCAAGTGACTCAGATTCTGAAACAGAGGCTCCCATCTACCATGTGACATGAGACACGGCAGAAGAGGGGGGTTCAAGCATTTCCAATTCTCAGCTCTGTCACTTCCTAGCTTACCGGCCCTGTGATGTTATTTGACCTCTCTGTGGATCTTACTGGATTCTTATTTTCAACAATCAAACTTCCTCACAGGATCACTCCAGAATTTAAGCAGGGAGTGGGGATGGGGATGGAGAGATGACTCAGTGGTTAAGAGCACTGGCTGCTCTTCTAGAGGACCTGGGTTAGATTCCCAGCTCCTACAAGTTGAGTCACAATCATCTGCAACTTCAGTTCCAGGGTCTCTGATGCCTTCTGCTGGCCTCTGGAAGCATTGCATGCATATGGTGCACATTCGTGCAGGTAGACAAAACACCCATCTACATAATAATAAAAGAGTTAAATAGACTAGTGCATGCTTGCTTAACACATTACATCACATGCTTGATAAGACAAGGTATAATTGACAGGCCCACGCCTTCTCAGGTTAGCGAAGCTACCATCCATGTCTGGGATACTCGGCATAGATTCATGTTAGTCTGGTTTCCACAGGGGAAAAAAATGAAATGGGTATGTTTGAAGTCTAATTATTTTGCTCTAAGAACTATCTACAAAAGCTTTAACTCACCCTAACTGAACTCTGGAACCATTTTTAAATTCTCTGCTAAGGTGAGGTTTATCCTATGGTTTGGAGTTGAAAGTTAAAGGAAAAAAAAAGGTATGTGTATTTAGGGCCCCTAGCTTGCCATGTGCAACTAGGAACAGGTAATTCATCTGTTTTGAGCACGGGTTGTCACTTGGGACACCTCTGAAGATTGCCAGCATCTATTAGAGGAGAAACATGGAGGCCAGAGTTAGTTTAGAATATCAGAGGACGGTGGGGTCAGGCTGCATGTCAGAGAGGACCTGGGAATGGAACACTAACCACTGGGTAGAACACAGAGACACCTGCTGAGTTCCTTTTGAGCCGTTTTTATTCTTAAACTTGGGATCTGATCAGGGGATGTGGTGCCTGCTTCTTACTGTGTGGGCCCTTTCTCAAGCGTGTCCGTTGGTGTGGCAACCTGTATCTGTGATACCGTGTCCAGCATTGGGACTGGGACCTCTTTGGGTCTTCCCTCAAGCCATCAGTCATCTTTAGCAGGTGCTTCTAACGGCAGTTGTTCTCTGGGGTGTTTTGTCCTATGTAGTTATGAAAACCGTTAAAGTACAGCGATGCCTAAGTCTGCTGTAAGAAAAGTTCTTGTGGGAAGCATAGTTATCAGCCTCAATACAAAGAGTTAGAGCTTGGGTTAAGTCTTCGGACACAAATGGGCCAAATGTGTTAACTTCAGAAATGATCCTGAGGGGCCTGGAGAGACGGCTCAGGGGTTAAGAGCACTGGATGCTCTTTCAGAGGTTGTGACTTCAATTCCCAGCAACCACACGGTGACTCACAACCATCTATAAATGAGATCTCAGGTCATCTTCTGGCCTGCAGGTGTACATGCAGATACAGCACTCATATGCATAAAATAAAGTTTTAAAAAAAGAAATGATCTTGATTAGCGACACTTTTACTGTGGTATTGACACTGGACTCTCCCACCCCCACCCCCTTGGGGGCCTCCACATGTGCTCAAGGTCCAGTCCAAACCAAACAAACCTGGGATTATTTAAAGAAGCCTCATTGCCTCCCCTGTCCACTTATCCTTTTCAGATACAAAAATAACACATTGTTTTATCTCTGAGTATAAGACTCCTTTTTCAAAGGAAATAAAATGAGCAGACAGTTTCCTTCCTGGCTGATTCCTGAACCTCTTTAAAATCTGTTAAACATAGCTACAGACACAACCCATGTGCCTAGGTTCCTAACTTCAACTGGACAAGATAGGAGTAGACCAGGAAACCGTGTCTGAAGCTCGGGGATGCTTCAGGGCCCCTCAGTGACATGAGTCATGCGCTCAAGGGCGAGAACCTAATTTCAATTATAGTCAAGGGCAAGAATCCAATCCCAATTATCAGATGATCTGCAGATAACTGTGGACAACTGTTCTGAACAGTGTCACATGGCCACATTAATCCAGGGAGCCCAGAGCACTTCAAGAAACTGAACCTAACTCGTACGCGTAGGCTTCTCTGAGTTCCATGGACTGTCAACTTGCAAACTGCTCTCTGTTTCAAGTATGGAGCCAACACCTGCATCCCCGAAACCTCACCACCTGAGAGGCTGTGGAGAGCTACCGTGGGTGAATGCCCAGGTCACAGATGTTGCAAAGCACAAAGCTAAGTCACATGGTTCCTGAGAAGCCCAGGCTGTCCTGGCAAAAGAGGGAAGATTTACATGTGGCGTGCACACTCCTACTTCATGCCAGGGCTTCTCCCAAACCAGCGGCTATGCAGCCACTGCTGGCAAGGGGACAGGTACTTAACAAGGCAAAGCAGCCGCACGATGGGCTGAGGTGAGTCTCAGAAGAAAGTTCTTCATCAGGGCTTCACTGCCTGTGAGAGTCCAGTTACCACTTCCTGCCTCTGGGGGCTTCCTAACTGCTCCACACACTGGTGTGTGCCGCCTTCCAGGGAGACTGAGGGGCATCTCTTGTGTTCTGCATTCCCCTGGCCTGAGGAAGCTGCTGTGGTGGCTATACCTGATATTCCTGCCGGGGACAGAGGAGCAGACTTTTGAGAAGGAGGCTGTTCAAACGAGAGGCTTGCTCAGTCTCTCTTGATGTGTGGCAGAATTGGAATACTACTTTAAAACAAGAAAGATTTGGGGGACATAAGAGAATTCCTCAGGCTGTTCAGGGATGGCTGCCCTCTTTCAGGAAGTACGGATTTGTGGTAGAATAATTTCAGCATTTCTTCCTTCCTGGCTTCTCCCCAGAAGCAGCCACACCCTCTCATATACACTACTGAGCACCGGGGAACGGCTACTGAACACATTCCGTCATCGAATCTCAATATGTCATTGATGTTGGGTTTGAGAGGTGCCCATGCGCAATGCTATGAGGCTGTAAATTCTAGGGTTGGGATGGTGCTTAGCATGGAAAAACTGAAGCCTGGGTTGAAACTGTTTTCCAAGCGGAAGCCACATGGCTTCTGTCAGAGTAGGACCCAGCTACTTTATGATTCACTCTGCAACACACTATCTGGGCCCAAGAAGCACGTAGGGCAGTGTCTGAGGTGGGAGCTATTCTGTATGTGTTGCATCTGAGAATATTTTGTGCCTCCTCATGTTAAGAACCAGCTGAGGAGCCAGGTGCTAATGGTACACGCCTTTAATCCCAGCACTTGGAAGGCAATATGGGGGGGGGTGTTAGTGAGTTCAAGGCCAGGCTGGTCTGTAAATCGAGTTCCAGGACAGCCAGGACTGTTACACAGAGAAATCCTGTCTCAAACAATAACAACAAAACCAAAAAAAAAACAGCTGAGGAAAAAGTAACGTCTAATTTCTAGGACTCAGAAAAGGGGGGTAGGGTGGGGATGAACAATTTCAGTGGGTTCCCCCCTCCCATTCCCTTTCTTCCTGGCCTTATTTCTCACAGATGTGGACCCCTTGGGGCACTGTGAGTCACACTGCCTGCAGCAGCGTCAGTGACACACTAGGCTCCCTTCTTCCCGGAAGCACTTCCCCTGCTGAGAAGGCTGGGGCTCCGGAGGACAGCCAGCCTCCGCCTCCAGACAGAGCCACAGTGTCAACAGTGTCCAGACCAGAGAAAGGGGTAGGGAAGGACCCACGGAGCTGCCAGAGGAGAACAGGAGGTGGGAAGTTAAGTCAACAGGGAAACAGGTGTCTGGGCTGCCAGCTGTTTACCTTGCACGGTGAGGTAGGCTGAGCTCTCCACGGCTCCCTTCTGGTTGGTGGCCCTGCACCTGTAGACACCTTCATCCTCCTCTGTGACTCTTTCAATAAGCAGAGTGCTGTTGCCCGGTCCTAAAATAATTCCTGGGGAGTGAGAGATGCTTAGATTAGCAGGTCTGGAGGACAAACACAAACAGCCCGCAGGAAGCCCAGTGCCTTCCTATCCTAGGCTCCCAGGAGACGTTCTGAGCTCTTCTTAACCCCAGACCAGGCCATTCCCTCATGGCTGGGGCTAACCAGCATCTGCCCCACGCCTGCCCTGCTGTGCGCCAAGCCTGCCCCACCCAGCTCACAGTTTGAGGCTTCCCCACACTCAGAAGGTGGGCGCTGTCCTGTCCTCCTCACACAGAGAAAATAGAGACTTCCCAGTATCAGGCAATATGACCAAGAAGAAGTAGCTTAACCCACAGCACATTTGTGGAATAGGGTCCTCTGTCGTGTGGCCTGTCGTTGGTACATCGTGGAAGTAAAGAGCTTGGGCTATAGCTGTGTTTGAATCCACACCTTAGCACTAGAGGCAAATTACTTTACTCTGTCTGTGTTGTTTTTCCCAAGTCTTGAAATAAAATGAAAATAGCTCCCACTCAATACATGTGTATCCTGGTAGGGGGTGCTCAGTAGATGTAAGTACTGTGTACTCAGTACTACACAGACTTGGGTGATGGAAGAACTCGCAACAATTTCTGGACCCTTTGAAAGGCTTTGGGAAACAGGTATCTACGCCAAGTACTGTCACCAAGTATTGACTTGGTATTAATCTCCCATCAGTCCAAGTATGGGAAATAGACGGTCAACAAGAATGTAAGTGAGTGCTGGGGGAGGAGGCGGCCCTTTGAAGGACTGTCAGGGGCGAGGTGGGAAAGGGGGGCACGGGACAAGAGGTGGAAGTGAGCAGGCACTGAGAACTTGTCCTGACCACAGAGGACAACATAATGATAGGTTATAGGTGACCGGCAGATTATAGATACATGATAGATACATAGATGATAGACAGAGAGAGATACATAGATAGATGATACTATAGATAGATGATATATACAGATAGATAAATGATAGATACATAGATAGATGATAGATACAGAGTTAAATGATAGATACATAAATAGATAGGTTGCTAGAGATAGATACATAGATATATAGATGGTAGCTAGCTAGATAGCTAGACAGATAATAGAACAGGTAAACACCAATCCTCTTATTCCTACACAGTTTTATTAGTCTTCTTTCTGTCTCCCCTCCTCATTAAACCCAGGGATTTACACAAACACTCAACCACTGAGAATTTCTCTGCCCTTTTAATGTTTTCCAATATAGATTAAAAAATAATTTGTTCATTCGTATGAAGGCCTCTTTTATGTACCAGACAACTCTTAGATACTAGGAAGACCATGACAGGCAGACAAGTCACATCCTTGCATACAGAGGTGTCACATTCTAGTTTACAGTAAAGTCTATGGAGAAAGCAGGCTCCAGAGAGGGTCAAGGTAAAGGAGGTGTAGAAGAGGCTGTTGGAGACAGGGAAATCTAAATGGACCTTCAGGGACAGCTCTTCTCTGAGGTGACCTGTGGGCGGGGACCTGCAGGAAGGGTGCAGCCCTGTACAGGGTTGGAGAACAGCATTCTAAGCAGAGGGAGTCACATATGTGACTCGTTCCTGGGCTGGCATGCGCCTGTGTAGACACAAGGGGCTGGGAGATGACTCAGTGCTTAGAGCCCTGTTGTTCTCCCAGAGGACTCAGGTTCGGCTCCCAGCACCCACATGGTGGCTCACAATCATCGCTAACTCCAGTTCCAGCGGAGTCAGTACCTTCTTCTGACCTTTGTGGGCGCCGGGGATGCATGTGGCACATGTGCATCCATGCAGGCAAACATTCGTAAACATAAAACAAATACTCCTGAAAAAGAAGAGGGAACAAGGCCTCCATGGCTAGTGTACAGTAAGCACACAGAAGAGAGAAATGGCCAGGACCTAGATCCTGCTTAACCTGCCCCAGGCATCATAAGGATTTGGGCTTTGTTGTGTTCTCCACTGCTCAAAAACCCTTGGAGAGGGCTGGAGAGATGGCCCAGCAGTTAAGAGCATTTGTTGCCCTTCCAGACGGCCTGGGTTCAATTCTCAACACCCACATCAGGCTTACAACTGCTTGTAACTCCAGTTCCAGGAGATCCCACGGCCTCTTCTGGATACACCCAAACATATAAAATACACGTACATACATACAAAATAATGACTAACTAAATCTACTGGAGTGTGGTGGCACACTCCTGTAACCCTCACACGAGAGAGGCAGAGACAGGAATTGAAGGTTGGTCTCAGCCACACAGTGAGCTGGAGGCCGCCCAGCACTACACAGCTCTGTTTCAGAAACACAAGTAAGCAAATCCAGAAAACCATCCTAAGCCAAAACAACCCACGGTAGGATGGGCTGCGGGTGTAGCTCAGTGCTAGGGAGCTTGCTTTGCACGAGCAAGGTCCCCTCCCCTGCATCACAAGAACAAAATGAAACAGATGACATTAGTCATCGGCGGGCATGGGCAGCAGGCAGACAAGGAAAGTGGGTTGGCTGGTGTGGGCAGTCTCCCACTGAAAGACTTGAACCAGAGTGCCAATGCCACGGGAGGGATGGCCTTGGGGATTTTTATTTTTCTTCTGAAGAACAAACCAGCTTGCTTGTGGATTGGGGTGTGGTGTGTGAAAAAGGGTGATGAAAAGACAGACGTCTAAGCCAATCGTGTAGACAGCTGGGATGTGCAGTGTCTGGAAAAGGAAAAGATGCAGGAGAGTGGACCGGGGACGGTGGTCAAGAATTCTGGTGTTTGCCAGAATTCAAGATGGCTACCGCGTACCCCAAGGGAGGATTCATCTGGAGCACCGGGAGGGGTCAGGACTTGAAACCGTGTGGGCTCAGCACTGGGAAAGCATTCGAGTCCCAGGGCTACAGACAAATGCCATGGGTGCAGTCAGTCCACAGGGAGGAGTGAGGTCAACAGTCTGAGCCCTGGGGACTTCAGAACAGGCAAAGGAAGTGGCCAAGTGGGGGGTGGGGTGGGGGCAAGAGGCTCTTGGAGCCTAGGCAAGCATTTTCTCACAGGCAGTGCTGAGCTGTGCTCAGAGAGGCTCAGAGGAAGGAAGCCAACCGCCTGCTTTAAGGGGGTGCAGAAGAAAGCCTGACCAAGGGCACAGAAAGAGATACCCGGGTGACCAAGTGGAGACAGCAGGAGCTTCCTTTCTAGCAAGCGTCTGGTGTGTGCACATGATTGCAGATGCCCAAGGAGGCCAGAGGCATCAGAGTCTTTGGCGATGGAGTCACAGTGTTTCTGAGCTGACTGGTGAGGGTCCTGGGACTCAAACTCAGGTCCTCTGGAAGAGCAGCTCATGTTCTTAACTGCTGAGCCATCTGTCCAGCCCAGGAAGTCTTTCTTCAGATGCAAAACTTTCTTGCATTTTTATGTGCTGATAGGAACAGTCTGGGAGAGCGAGAGGGCAGGGAGGGTTATAATGTCCAGATGAGAATTTCCCACGAGGTAAGAGGACTAGAGTTCCACTGCTCAGGTGACCTGGGAAGGGCACAACAATCTGTTTCTTATATTCTTCCTTCCTTCCTTTTCTCTGGAGACAGGGTCCTGCTATGTAGCCAAGGCTGGCCTTGAACTCATGATCCTTCTACCTCCACCTCCCAACTGCTGGAATTACAACCCTCCCATGTCTCCCTACCTCACTTCACTCCATCTCAACTTCGTATCTTTTTTGTTTATTGTTACACATATACAAAATATATAATTACACATGTAAGTGAATGAACATGCAAATACAACCTGCTGAATCTGTGCACACACACACACATACACACATACATACACACACACACACACACACACAGTTTTTAGGGCTGACCAATTGGTATTGGGTAACCAATTAGGTTGCTCATTCCTGGGGAAGACTAATTCTTTAGCTCTTCATCTAGGGGTGGGGCCCTGTGAGATCTTCCCCTTCCATGCTGGCATGCCAAATAGCAACGCCATTGTCATTTTCCTGATTAATGATTGACGTGCCCTGTGTTGTATAAGAAAGCAGGCTGAACAAGCCAATAAGCATAATTCCTCCACGGCCTCTGGTTTGGTTCCTGCTTCCAGATCTTGCCTTGGCTTCTCTCAGTGATGGATTGTGACCTGTCAGCCAAATAAATCCTTTCCTGCCCAAGTTGGTTTTGGTCAGTGTATTTATTATTCAGCAACAGAGAAGCAAACTAGGCCAGCTGGTTAGCATTGTACTGGGAGTGATAAACTATTTTGTCTTTCTCCAGCAGTATTGAGCATTGCCGTATAAAACCAAACACAAACAAAACCCAAAACCCATGCTGTGGTGGGTGACATAACTGCTGCTTCCTTCGCACTCTCTGAACATTTCTCCATGCGCGTGTGAGCCCCTGTTCTGAGTGACCGGCAGATTGGGGGGGACTCTGTAGTCAGAACTGGTTCTGGTCTTGGCTTGGAGGAGGAGAGGCCTGCGGGTCTGTGACTGTGGAAATGACATCATGGAAGTGGCATTTAGGAGAGTTTAGTCTAGCAGAAGGCAGGATGGGCTGGGATGAGGAAGGAGCAGCATGGGGCAGTCCGGTTCCCTACTTGAAATTTAGGCAAGGGATGGTGAGGCTGACATTTGGCCCCCCACCCCCATCCCTGCCACAAACGGAAGAGAGGACGGGAAGGGAAGGGGGAGGGAGAAGTGGATACGTACTGGGAAGAAACGGCCTGCAGGAATTGGTGCTTTATTGGCTAAACCAATGGAGGGAGGTGAGCTCAAGTGGATGCCAGGATTTTAAGCCCAAATAAGAGGAAACCGTGTTCTTCCCAGAGTTCTCCCCTAACGACATTGGCTAAGTCCTCCAGTCCCTTTGGCCATTTTCTTTTTCTCTCTGTAAAATGAGGGTAACACCGGCTTTGCATTGTCAGCATTCCAGAAACAGGGGTAGCAAACATAGTGGAGTGTGGGCAGAAGGGTTGAGGGGTGCAAGTTTGGGGGTGCCTCTCAGTGGTGGAGCACTTAGCCGGCGCCAAGGCCACTTTGAGCTGCATCCCCAGCA